ACTCTCTAACTGAATTTTACAATATATTTCATCAGTATGTTGTTATCTTAAGAGCTGAAAACTAAAAACGGTGCCCAATTAAAGTATTTGTAGTCTTCTAAAATATTAAAATTTTATTTCGTTGCTTAATTCAGTATTCTTACTTCATTCGGTGTCAGTATTTCCGCAGAAAAGTTAATTCTAACAGCATAAAATTTCAGTTTTGTATCGTTTTCCATCTGCGCAGGTTACATTATTCTTCAGTCTAAAATATTAATTATTATTAGCAATTTTCTGCTTGATGATTAGATAAAACAGTTTTAGTAGCAATAACTAATCTGTTAATTAACTCATTACTGTAAAGTAAGCATACACTATTAGCATGAACATAAATGAGCCCAATAAATTCAAAACCACCATGAAATTTAAAACTGTTTAAAGTACCTGAAGTAATACCTTTTCATTTTTTGAACAGTAGTTCATATGTTTTTAAAAACAACAGAATCAAATTATAAGAATTTTAGCTAAAGCACTTAACATTAATATTTAAAGTGCAGATAAAGAGATATATCCAAACCCAGAATGTAGCGATTGTGTCCCTCTTTAAAAAAAAAAAGTCGCTCTTTAAAAAGGGGAGTAATATAAGGTATTTCTCCCGCTTTCCCTTCTAATGTGCCTTTGTGGTGTAGTGGTTCTGCACTCTGGGCCGGTATTCCAGAGGTCCGTGGTTCGATTCCTGGCGAAGGCAGTGGCTAATTTTTTCATCTTTCCTGCTTCCAAAAAAATACCTAATGTCTCTACAGCCTAATTAAAAAAATTCGTTTCCGTACTTAAAAAAAAAATTCCAATTTTGCCTGTATTTATAGTAGGGTTTGCAATCTGTAAGTAATTTATACATTTTTTATAAAAAAATATATGTTATTTGGAATTTAGCAAATATTCTACAAAATGCTAATCCATTGAAAAAAATCTTTTCATGACTAAATAATTTTTAAAAACGTCAGAAAAATAGCAATTAAAATTAATAACAAAATAACAAGAATAAATTATCAATCATATCAATATTTTTAGTGTACAGCATTTAGAAAAAACTTAGTAAAATACATAAAAAATTAAATAATGTGCAAGTTTCAGATGTGCAATGTCAAAAAACTAAAACAGGTAAATTTGAGAACAAATATCCTCAGAATGTTTGACAACCGAAGTCCTCTGGACAATGCAGTATGAATGTCCTCAGGATGTGAAATTGATGAAGTCCTCAGGACATCTGAGAATCAACATCCTCATGACATCCTCTCATATCCCGGGACATAGTGACTTAAATAAGACATCCTCAGGATGTTAAATTACGATGTCCTCGGGACATCCTAAGTATGTCCCGGGATATTGCGACTTAAATAGGACATCCTGAGGGATGTTTTGTGCTATGGGGGTATATCAATTTAATTGCACTGAAGAGAAATGTAATTTAATTGACCTGAAGATAAAGGTCATTTTGAGTTTTGCTTTATGACGAGCATGCTACGTAATAATTCGCGGGATGGAAAGCGGTAGCAATAGATGTAAGCGCTAAGATAATTGAAGATGCTATCACTGATACGTTCAGTTTAAAGCACATCTTAGATTATAAATGTTCTGATTGTCAGCATTCTAGTTCTTAAAAATTCAGTGATTAGAACGATTTACCCCCTCCCCATCATACATCATTTCTTGATATTTCCGCTATGTTGAAACAGATTACTCAATCAAGAAGCATGTATTTAGTAATCCGATTCCTTACCAAAAATTTGCGTTATAGTTGGTACAGGCATAAAGCTTGTTCAAATATTGCCATTATATAAATACATACGTCATGAGAAATTATATTAGGATTACATCATAGGCCTTAATTTTGAAATTATGTAGTTCATGGAGATTTATCATAAGCATGAAAATTTTATATGATAGAAACGGGAAAAAAAACAAATTAAAAAGGAGATTTAAAAGAGGGCTATTACAAATTAACAAATTGAAATCATAGTACAGGGTTAGCATAAATGATTCATTCATTTCGGAAAGGCTAAATTTTCAAAAGTATTACGGGTGAAAAGTAAGTAATACTTTTGAAAAGAACCACAAACTCACCATGTGTTATTCACTATTTCACCAAGTTTCCCGGATAAGTGGAGCGTTGCTTCATTGCCTGAATATCATTTTGGTGGCGAAATCTTCGTCTTCTAATTGTCTGGTCGCAAAAATCTAGTCGACGGGCGTAATCCTCTGTCTTTAATTGTTGCAGGATCACACATGGAACGGTTTGAAATGCAAACCGTTGACGCAAAACCTTCCACACAGTTTTTTTTTTTTTTTTTTTTTTTTTTTTTTTTTTTTTTTTTTGTGGTATTCCAAACATCTGGACAGCAATGCTACAAAATGTATGGAATGAGCTCGATTATCATCTAGACGTGTGTTGTGTCACCAAAAGGGCACATACTGAATATTTTACAGGGTGTATAAACTTGATGAGTTTGTCGTTCTTTTCATATATCTCTCATGTGTGTACATGAAATACTTTTGAAAATATAGCCTTTTCAAAACGAATGAAAACGTTTATGCTAACCCTCTATTTCATCATCAATTATATACCCCCTCCTTTCATTTTATGCTATCGTTTATCGAAAAGGCAAGTCTTTCATTTTCAGTGACCCGGTTTCTTGAAAACAGGCTAAATTAACGGGGAAAGGTTTGATTAGCGAGTAACATTTTTTCAAATTATTCTAGTTGAGAATTTGAATATTCATTGAATGAAATTAGAACTTTTTAGCTAATCATTTAAATTAATTCTGATAAGACTTCGTATAACTTCATACTGTAAATTATACGTTATTATTGGTTGGATAGGCTATTTTTTTCTTTCTTGTTTGGGAAAGAACGCAGCTCATTTTCACTCTATTTATAAAATCTAGTTAGATCTGAAGCACTGAAATTTCAAGCTATGGTGTTTTACCCCTTATTAATATAATATCTGTGAAGAAATAATAGTAATTAATTCCGCAGTCTGTCAGGTGTATTTCAGTTTAGTTGATCATTCAGAATAGTTTCATTCGCTTGCAAATACAGCTTTTGATTAAAGAAGGCGATGAAAACCAACAGTTATCCGAGAATGTAGACAAATGCTCGCGTATAATTTTCCGGTTGATTTTTAAAATATTCAGAACTTGTATTCGCAAAGTGGAAATTTTTCTCAGGCATTTCGTGCTGTGATCGATGATTCAAAATAGTTCCAATCCGTTATTAAATGAGAGGTTGTTGGTTAAAGAGCGTTAATGAAAATTATGAAGTGTTTGTTTATGAAGAAGGGGGGGGGAAACTTCCGCGTATAATTTTCCAGTTCATTTTAAAAGCATTCAGAACTTTTATACTACAAACAAGCTTTACGAAAACAACTGCTTCACTTTTTTGTTCAACTGCAGATCTGTAGGTTCTAATTTAAAAGTAAATTTAACAAAATGGGATCGTATCTTATTTGTGGGATCACTGAATTTCCTGAGGCGTGATGGCTAACGAGGCAGTACTTGGTGGCATCGTTTTAACCCATGCAGGTAGGTCTTAGATGAGGAGTTCTCTTTATTTCTTGCGGCTAATTTGGCTTGTCGTTCCGTCGTGTTGATAACCAAAAGTGGCAGTACCTGCACAGAGCATCTCAAGGGTAGTGCCCCTCCCATCCCTTAGTCCTGTGATCGCCACCGTGTAGCCGCCTCGAGATAAAGAATACAGCAATACCCACAACATAATTACAGTGATAGCAATGCCAGCGTAAGACTACGGCAGTTAAAAGGCGAAATTTGAATTCTTGCTTGGGTTGAGGTCATTGCAGGTCGATTCATGACCCTGAACTGCCACTCCCATACATACGTGGAGCATTCGCAATGAGCGACAACCACAGCCCCAGGGAAAGGCTTTCACGTCAGGTACATCTAATTAAGTTCAAAAGAAGCAAGGCTAGTGATTAGACATTTTTCTTCAATTAAGATCTCTTAAGAAGCAGATCGCTTTGAAACAAGTTTTGAAAAACTTTTATGCGAGAATTTTCTAAAGCCGGTTTAAGATGGGCTTTGGTGCGCACTGAATTCTAACCATAAATGATCTCATTATTTTAAGATAGTTTCAAACCATTTTGATTTTATTTTTATGTCCCTTTTATGCGTCAACGACTCCTTTTTTCTTTGGTCCTTAATCTCGAGTATATCGATGCATCAGAGATTTTATGTTTTACTTCTCTGGCTTTAAGTCCTCCTCGCTTTCTTTAGATGCCAAAACGTTATAGCTTTGGATTACATGAACAATAGGAAAAGGGAAAGTACTTAGCCGAAAATAAATGAACAAACAAATCGTTTACTTACCCCCTCCCCCAATGTGAAATAGTTGTGAGGATTTTCTTTTCCATGTTAGAGCAAAGGTCATCAAATTATTCCGATGATTGCTTGGACAAAGCTGCCATTTTATTCACGAGTTTTTGAGCTCTTAAATAAAACCTGCTTATATAAAATATTATATTTCCTTCAAGCAAATTATACTGTATATTTAAGAAATTGGGTGTTTGTGAGTTCATTTGTAAAGCTTTTTAATTTGCGTTTTGAAAACAGTAAGTGTGTAAAAGCCCCTTAGCTTTTAAAGCAAAAAAATAAAATGCTGCATGATTTCTCTCATATTCATTCATGACAAAAGGAAAATCAGTTTCAAGCAGCCATTCTGAGAGCTTTTGAATGATGTTAAAAATTGCTCAGTAAGTACTACTGCGTTAAGTAAAGACTAAAATAATAATAATATTTTACGTTCAAAAATCTAACATTTCGGAATTTTTAAATTAATCTAAAGACTAATCCAGATTTTTATATTTAAATGAAAGGAATATTAATTATGATATTTTATTTATATCTCTTGAATAAGACACTTATAATATTTGTTTATCATGAAGTTTTTTTATATATGTATATATCTATAGTTAATAGGTTTCTTAATGGACTTTCTTTTCCCTGCAGTTTTCCCATGTCTCAAAGCAATGGACTTGTACGTGGGTTCGACTCAACATTTTCCTATAAAGGCAGTGGGTCTCCATTCCTTGTGCGAAATATGGACATTGAAGGCAATGGAGGAAGTTGTTTAAGTGGCGGTTTGAGCAGAAAATTAGACAATCAAAATTCCTTAACGCCTCTTGAATCAAGAAATAGTAGCAATAATACCAATCATTCGGTACTTAGTGCCAATGCCGCAACTTGCGGCTTATCAGATTTTTCCTCATCTCAGACTTTATTAAATCTAGTTCGGACTGCTAGTGCTCAAAGTGCCTCGCAACTCGAGAATTACTTAAAAGGCGCTGTTAAAAGAAGTGCCGACGGTGAGAGCCGTCTTGACCCCCTTGATCTCACGGTCGCCAATGTCAAGAGACCAAAACTTGAAGTTGGTAGAGAATTAAAGGACTGTCGTGATCTTCTTCAGTCAGATATAGATACGTCTTTAACTACAAGTGGAGACTGCTCAGGAAGTTTGAGGACTTCGTCATCTTTGGGATGTGTGAAGCCATCATGGATGACGTTATTGGACAAAAGAATGCGTTCTTCACCCACACCTTCTTCAAGGACTTCTCCAAAAATTCAAAATACTGAACGATCGCGCTGTGCATCTCTTTGCGTTGAAAAATCATGCACTTCACAGTCAGAAGCTAATGATCTAGCTCGTTGGACAGTCGATGATGTAGTGCAGTTTGTGTCTTCTGTTGAAACTTGCAGCGAGTATGCTGAGGTAAGTGATTTAATATGTTAATAAATTAAAATCACATTTTGCTTACGTTTTAAAACTCTAAATGGCTCTGAGAAGGTCATCTCCAAATTTAATACTGTGTAATGCATTCACTTGAAAATCTCGCACAATATCAGAGAGACTTCATCAACGGGTAAGATTAAAACTTGAATTCCACAAATATAAGCAACTTTTTCATTAATTAAACGGAGCGTTTCTTTATCTTATTCTTATGTCCTCTTCTCGTCAATTTCAAGCACGTAATAATATATTATCTTCACACACAGGTAGAAGGGTTATCATTCCTTTTTTCCATTCTGTTCTGTCATCTTAAAAGCACAATCTCTTTGAATAAATCTTACGACTTTTTTTAACTTCATTAGCAGCACACGCCTTACCACGGATAAAAAAAATTATCGCCTAAACTATAGCTGTTTTATTTATGCTGAGCGACATGTAATCAGTATCATTTCTCTCTCTGTCATCTGAGGTTCGATCGACCCAAAAAGCTAAAACCTGGACGCCCGATACAATTGAGCCACACTAATCATCGAACAGTGAGCCTCAGGGCAACAGCCTTTCTATTATCTCGTTTGACCGTTTTACCCTTCTGATATTTATTAAATATCCTCGCGGTAGTTGGAACATGATACATATCAATGTGGCATTTTCTTTCACGCCTCGCACTTCTTTGGCCTCCAGCTTTCCTGAAACGTCAATGGATGTTCTAGGTCAACTCTATCCACCCTACATTTTAAAAGTTCGTATTAATTTCAGGGAGTGGCAGCTGGGTCCGGTTGTATTGACCTTGAATGCCAATATATAGGGCGCGTATGTTATCAAATTGGGTCAATATCAAAAGCGATTATAATTAATACTCGAATGTTGATATTAGTAGACTAGAACTTCTCATTTCAATTTGTATATGTCGCTAAATAAATATATGCTTGTGAAGAAATGCTATTATTACATTTGCATTTAGTTTCAGCCACAGTGTGTATTGTTAAGAATAAAAACACTTTTGCTTACATAAATAAAAATACTTTTAAATATTTGTCTTTACCCGTAGAAAAACCTCCGTGAAGAATGCATCTTTAAATAGATAGTTCTTGAGGTTTTTGCCCTCATCAAATATTGCTAAATCAAATAAGGGTGTGAATACAAATCGTTAATAAATATTATAAGCTATTTCGCATTGAAAATTACCAATCACCATGAAATTATAAATATTTTTATATATTTGGAGATCGTGATTTGATAAATAATGGAGTTCTAAAGTTTTAAAATTTTTTATATCTTAAAATACAATAAACATTTTTTACCCAAAGTACCGTTTGAGAAATATTTTTAACTGATATAATCAATATATTCCTCTCTAATTTAAGTTTATATTGAGAATACTTTGTAGAGACATTAGGATTTTTTTTTTTTTTCGAGGCCGAAGAGATGAAAAATTAGCAACGTCTTCGCCGGGAGTCGAACCGCGGACCTCTCAATTACGCACTGAGCGTCCAGCCCCCCTCACCACGAAGGCAAGCCAAGAAGGCGGGAGAAATACCTTATAACTGCACAGCTTTCTATGTTTTGTGAAAACTTCATACTTTCAGCTGTTCTATTATTGACATGGATGTCCACATAAGTGATATGATTTCTTACTTAAAGCATGGCCATAATAATAATATATGGATACTGCTGTATTTGCTCAATTTTGGAGATTTTACACTTCCTAATCTATAAAAATATGCGGGTTGTTGTTCATAAGAATCGTAATGAATTGATCCGCATTGCGTTTAAAATATAGCCCATGTTATTGTTTAAATATTACTTGAGTTTCGATAGGAAGGTTTTGAATTAATTTCATTCTTAAATAATCATAAACACGGCAGTTTTCTGTCTATAATCTGCGATAGTTGGACCCATTAATTCTTTTTCATCTCTATTTCTGTAGATGTGTTTCATTCTTCCCTTTGTGAAGGCTGAAAAATCTACCAACAACTTCTCTTCTTTCCACAAAATAAGTTAAATCACATTTAAGTCTGTTCGATGTAGTAAATTTTAAATTCCGCTTACAGCTTGACATCTCTCTCTCTCTCTCTCTTTTTTTTTTTTTTTTTTTTTTTTTTTTTTTTTTTTTTAACATTGCAGGTAATACCTTGGTTAAGCTCTGTGCATTTGAGGATAATGGTATCAATTAAAGAACGAACACTTAGTTTTTTTTTCTCTTAAACGCAAAGCTTCTTACTCATTGTTTTTATTTTATATTGCAAAGACTTGTCTTGTTTACGTGAATTTTCAGGATTTCTCAAAATGAATTTTCGACTTGGTTAGATTTTTTAAAAATGTGTTGATTTAAGTGAATATGGCAAAGCACGAGGAATAAGTGCCTAAGTGAAGCACTTTGTGAAGAACTTCATAAGTAAAGATGGCTCAGTTTTTACGTTATACATGGGAAAGTCCACGAATGCATCTATGTAGGTCACCACGTCAAGCCAAAGTATCAGTGTTTAGCAGTTTTATCCGCTCAACCACTGGTGGAAGCCACTGCCGAGAAATACAACTGTCAGTCGCTGTTTTTCCCGTTGTATCAAAGACTTCATTTTATTTTCCTTTTCCTGTCGCCCAGACGGTAGGAGAGCCTGATTGCGATAACAAAGGGCCCGGGTTCGAATCCCGGAGAAGACATGGATGTGAAATTGTCTGTCCCGTCATAGGATGGTAGCGGTGGCTGCCTATTAGGTGCCATGCCGTTATAGGCAAGTGCTAGCTATTGGGGGGGGGATGTCCTTTGTTGCTTTGATCTGATTTGCAGACCAAATGAAATCATTTTTCTTGACTTAAAATTAAATACAGAAAAGAGGCTGTAATATAACATACTGTCACGAAAATCAGTACTGCGAAGCTGAAACCTTTATTTCTAGACTGAAACGGAAAACTATTTGCGTTCAAAATCATGAAAGAAACAGCTTTAACACACTGTCCTTTCATGCACTTTGTCAGGAACTCGTGTCCGTGAGACGAATAGTTAGTTACCTCCAGAAATTAAAAATCTCCGTTTTCCGGTGTGCTCACTCCTTTTATACTGATCTTGTGACATTAAGGCTGAACCATAAGAAATACTCTTGAACTTTCAGCCGCGTGGAAAGTCTAAGTAACTGCCCACATGCATATAGAGCGGATTAAAATTCGCGTTCTTTACAAGGCAAACTTGTAGAGACATTAGGACTTTTTTATGCTGAAGCGTGAAAAATATGCCCTCGCCGAGACTTGAACCATGAACCTCTCGAATATGCGCCGAGTGTGCTGACCACTACACCACGAAGGCAGATTGAGAAGGCAAGAGAAATACTTTATAACCTAATCTATTATTTCGTGATATTCGTTGTCTAAATTTCTGAAGCATGTCATTTTCTTCAGGCAGTGTTGTCATCTCCAAGTATTCGAGTCTCCAGTTCGTCAGTCTAGATTTTATCTTTGATTTTCTCAATTACATGCATTGTAAAAATTTGCCGCAATCAAAAATCGATCTTAAATTTTTCATGTTACAGTTTCATGAACCAGTATTATAACGAAGCTGTTAATTATCTTTACCTAGTTTTGTATTTACACTTTATGGGCGACTGGGCTTTTCATGATTTTACCTATGTCTAAAATGAATACGAGGTAGTTTCCCTTAAAAATTTCTTTGCTGATAAACTAACTTAGTGGACAGGGTGTCTTTAGAATACTAATAGCGCACTATTATATACTAAGTATTGTTTTAAATTTTTGTTAACTCGTGGTGAGAAAGATGAACCAAATGTTTCTGCTTTAATCTTAGAATATCGCCTAAGGACAAGTTATCTTCATGTTTTGCCTATTTCTTAGCTCACTAGGGGGAACAAATTTTTAGAATATATCTAAACATACATGGTTTTCAGTAGAATTTAATTGTAGCTCGTACGCTCACATTTTCCTTTTTATGTCGTTTCGAGCAAGTCCAACACTAACCAAGGGGATTTTTTTAAATGGTTAAATAGCGGTAGTTCCCTGTCATGATTTTCCTTAAATACAAATAATTTGAGAGTCCACTTCTATTAGAATGTCCTCCAGAAAAGTTACTTTTCTTTGGTAGATAGTCCTTGCATGCTTTGTCGTAATGAATTAATACAGTATGATTAATCGTTTTAAGACCTTTTTGTTAATAGTTATCTCTGATAATATGAGTTTATCTTCCGAGTTCTACTCGTATTGCACAATCGGTTATATAGTATTAGTGGCTGCTTATAATAAAGTATATGCTGAACTCAACCAATATAAGAGATACGTTTCTTTTAAGAGTTTTGCCTTAACTAGTTACAGATGAAATATCGTCGCAGAAATTTATTAATTTCAAGACTACTGTAGTTCTAGGTGTTATATGCACTTATCATCTTAAGTGTCCAGAATGTTATTTTACAGTATTAAGGAATAAAAACGTTCCTCCCATGTGTCCTTTGGTGCAGTAGTTATCACATCTAACTAGTAAATGGAAGATCACCGATTCGATTACCAGTCAGGACCTGATTAATTTTTCATATCTCCCACCCTGATAAAAATTTAATCTCTGAAATCATTCGCGAACTAAAATATGGTGTATGAAAATTCATCATCACCTGGATATGGCCGACTAGGTCTCGGGTCTTTTTCCCCATTCGCATTTTAGTTGGGGGGTGATGTAAGAAATTAAAGCCATATCCCATGTGTCCTTGTGGTATAATGTTTACCGCATTTAGCTAGCAACTATAAGATCTGTAGTTTTGTTCCCAGCATAGTTGGCTTTTCACGCTTTTTGCTGTAAAATGTGCCTAACAGTTTTTACAAGAGCACTTATGCGTACCAGTGAAGTGATGAAATGTGTTTGTTGTTCCATATAAAAATGTGCATTATATATGCAAATCAGATCAACTTCATCTGGAAATTTCATTATTCATTAAAAGGAATGGCGAAAGCAAGTTCATTAATGTCAAATTGAATTTATATGAAAA